GGGGGGGGTGTTCCTGATGATTTGTCCCTTCTAGGCACACTGCATTTTTTCTCTCTGTTCTGTATTACACCTTTGGTGAATCAGCTATGGTCAGAATTTCCACGTAATGATTACCTTTTGGAGAAAGTGACTTCACTCTGACCCTGGGCCACAAACAGGGCTGTGTACACCTGTGTTCTGGCTCTTGGCGCGTGTGGCTGTCAAATTGGTTTGAGAACAGAGAAAACTGGATGGTTTTAGGTTAAAATGGACAGATTTGCTAGTCTTTGAGGGGTTATCTTAGGACAGTGGACTAACTTTTAATTTAGTGAATACAGAGTTCTAAAACAATATAGAAATACACACTGGCAAAATAACAGGTACAACTCTCCATGTCTGTATCTCAAGTTTTAAGAATTAATACATGCCTTTGTGATATTTAGGAATAAATTATGAATGGCACCAAATGAAAGCAAAGGTTCTCAACCGAATGACAAGTAATGACCGCTCCTCAGCAGTGTGGTTGACAGGCGTTGGAACACGAGGAGCAGTGGGTCACTCTCCATGCCCTGGCGTGGTATGCATTGTAGAAGCGCAGGAGACGCATGTGAGAATCGGCATTTCACTACTGTCTCAGGGCACTGCTGTCTCTGTGCACTGCAGGTTTAGGTTTGGATGTACAAGTAACTGTCAGCTGCAGTTTTCCTTTAAGTTATGACAGGAGATGGCTAATTTCACTTCCACTTACGATTTTTTCTTCAGTAACAAACAGAAGGACAATAAACCATGAACTATTTTGGTTTACGTATGCTTTTCTTAATACTTATGTTTTCTTACTATCTTAAAGCTTTATTGTACTTAAAGCCATCTTTGTTAAGTATTGACTCATCTTAGATCTATATACAATTCAGACTTAATTTTGTGTGTTGGCTTTAATGAAACTTCAACAGCATCTTACTTCAGAGTGACTAGTGTTTGTATTAGTTAACTTAAGTGAAATATCTTAAAGATTGTCTTTCATCTAACTAAAATAGGGCATAATTTAGTTTCAGTGGGAAAGGAAGTAATTGGTTTTTTAAATACTGTGCCTATTTCTAGAAATTTGGTGGCTTTTTAGATTATGCTGTGAAAACTAATGTTTATGGAAGATCGTCTCAAACTATTTGGGAGTAAATTTTAGTCTAAAAAAATAGATATTTATGCTGAGTCATGTTAAATGAGTTATTTTTATGAGATGCAAAAGTGGTAGGCAAAAATTGATGAAATGGTTTTATGAAATATAAAAATGTATGAGAATTGACGAAGTGTAAAGAAATCAACTTTCAATGTGACATTTTGATAGACTTGTAAACTTTATTTCTCTAGGAATTATTTTTGTCTTATGTGGAATTACTTAACATTTAAGTTTATAGCAGTGTTTTATTACTTTACCTTGGTGGGCATTTTAATGCCAGCATTAAGACTGTATAAGTAAACCCTTTTAAGTGACTCTGCCTACAGTAGTAAAGTTCTTGCTGGTTTTTTAAATTTTGTCAACCAGATCTAAGCAAGAACCCCAAAGTACCTGTAGAGTTTACCTTATAGTTAAAAGAATTGAAACTTTTACAGCAGATTTGTTTCTGGATTTATTACATAGGCAACAATAGTTTTGTCTTTTTCCTTCAGTATTAATAAAAGGAAATGACTGGTTTTAACTTATTTTGGGCGTAATTACCATAAATAAAAGATTTTGAGTGACTCGTGTTTGTGAATTGACATGTGTGTGCAAGAGCATTGCACTTCCAAAGACGTGGGAGACTGTCCACTGAAAAGATGAAGTCCAGTGTCTTAGTGGTTTGTGCTCTGAACTTTTGTAAGCTTTGTGATGTAAATACCAATTGAGAAACTATAAAACTTATCAAGGCTGCTCAACTATTGGCTTTTTTGTAAAATCCTTATGTTAAAGTTAGGCTATTTGTAATGCAATACCAATAAAATTGGTTGCTTAGGTAGTTTTAGTTACTATCTTGTGCTGATGTTATTGTGGGTTCTGAGTTATTCGTATTTTGGTTTTTGTCTCTGGACCAATAAAAAATGGTGAATAAGAAAAGTTATATAACAAGAAATATTAAAAGGAATCTACTTGAAAATGGAGAACTGGTATGTATTCCTTATTCCAAAGGACAAATACTAATCTCGTTGCTTTAAAACAAGAGTATAGAAGAGGGCTTGAAGGCCAGCTCAGTGGCATAAGTACCTGCCTGGTAACCACAGAGTCCAGAGTTCAGTCCCTAGTGTTAATAAAAACAAAAACAGAAGAGGGCTTGACATATGAAGTAGATACATAAACTCAGCAGTTCTTAAAATTGTACCAGCACTAAGCTTCCCCGTAGACTGCTTGCTTCTCTTTGGAGTAGTGCGTTTCTGCTCAGTGAAGAGACTTTAGCTATAGTGAAACAAGACTGTGCTTTTCTTATCAAAGTGTTTGGTTTCTGTTCAGTAGGGACTTAATCTCCTTTTTTTTGGGGGGGGGGGTACTGGGAATCAACGCAGGCCCTTATGCTTGCTAAGCAGGTGCTTGTGCTTCTGAGCTATATCCCCAGCCCTGTAGTAGAAAGCTGACCCTAAAATCTTCCTTGGCAGATATGTTACAAAACTGCTTGCCAACTTGTAGTGGAGTCATACGTGACTCTTTCGTACTGTCTCTTTCCTTTCAGGAGATAACCTCTCAGGTATGGCAAGTTTGAAAAAGCAGTCAAATGAAAATTGGTGATAAATGAGATTAGTCTGTTTGTGACTTGAGCTAATGTCTTTTCTTAAAGCTGTTTCAATAAGGGCTCATGATTTAATGTAAGTACTTCAGGTTTGGTATTTAAATGGATTACAAATTGTTTTATAGGACATTACCCTTTAATTAAAATAGTACAGCATAGAATTAGAAATATTTATTCAGAATATAAGAATGTTTGTAAAATATTATAAATGTCTCTGTATAAATAAACGGAGTTTTTTTTTTTTAAACAATTGTATATCAAATAACAATAGCTATTTTACAGCTGCTAAAACTAAAGGCATCTGGGAACATTTAAAGCATGTAAGTGAAGAATCAAAAAAATTACAAGGTATAGTAAGTACAGTGTTAAGCAACTTTGAAATGAAACTAAGTACAAACAGCAGAACAATACTGACAAATGCAAACTTAGACACATGTGCTTTAACAACTGACAGTACATTCAAGAAAGTGTTTCTAGTAATTCAAGTTGAATAAAAGTAGCACATTTTCAAATAGGAAACTTAAATCTCATGCAAAGTAAGTCGTGACAAGCTAAAAACTGTTTGGAAATAGGAAAGAAGTGAACATGTCTCATAGTCTTTACATTAAGTTTAAATAAAAGCAGATTAGGGGCTCTGACTTATTGGCCATCCTGACATGAGCACTGTTAAGTAGACGTGAGTTCTACGGACATTTTCCCATGAGCTGATCTGGAAAAAGTACAAAAGTGAACAGTGGAGCAAGAGCCGCGTAGGCAGGGCACCAGCGTGGGGGTGGGGCTGCTGCATCCAGGTTGCACGCTTCTGCCTAGCAGTGTTTCAAATGGTTGGCAGACAAGTAACTGAAAAGCATAAATGCTACTAGTCAAGGATCTGATTCCCAATAGCAACTTGCTGTTTCTGTGCCTGAGTGGAATATTTTTGTCTTATGCACATGAAAAACCAACTCGTGGTAGAATTAGATATAACAACTACCAATAGTTACCTGCATGTGAAGCTGTTTTTCCTCTACAGAAGCATTAGCAAACAAGGATATATGTTACCTTCTTGTTCCCTTTTCCACTTTTTTAAGCAGCCCAAGTGCTCAGTAATGCTGTGCTGGAAACAGCATTATATGGTCAATTTTGGTTCCAACTCAAGTTCTTCCCAGTAAAGGCACCTATCAGCGAATACAGAGTAGCTTCTGTGTATGAAACGGGAGGTACTTCAGAAGGCTACAGCTGAAAACAAACTTTTGAGCCTCACTTATAAATACAAGGTTCAGTTATGGATACACTTCAAAAACAACTGTATGTAATGATAATTTTTATTTTGTATCAAGCTGCACCTGTTCTACTAACTCTGCTCTAGAGAAGAGTTTGCAAGCCATAATCAAAGGTGGTGATTTACATCATTCCTTGTCAAAATAGGCTGTTACACTGGATAAATAGAAAAATAATTGATTCCCCCCAAATGTTTTATAGTGGTCTACAAAGCTGTCATGTACTGTAGAAAACCAAAAATGTTAAATGTGCTCTCACTACTTGCCCCCCCCCCAAAAAAAAAAAAACCTTCTGCACCCTAATGTAAGTTCAGTGTGGAAATTCTGACTATCACAGAACAGTCTCACTGTTCAGGTTCTTAATACTTTTCTAACCAGCTCCCATTGCTGCATTTACAAGTTTAGCATGAATTCTGTACAATGTATGCGGTGTACTATCATTTAGGCATCTGCAGCTAATATAAACTTTATGGAGGAAAGGATACTTTCAGGTGTCATTAGTGAAAAAAATACTTCTTTTGGGTATCTTGATGCATTTTTTTATTGCTTCATTATCTTAAAACCAGAACCTTGCACTTGCCAGGCAGGTGCTTATCCTGCTGAGCTATATCCCCGGCCCTCACTGTTTCATTTAAAACAGGGGCATGATGCTCCAAATTCTTGAGTTTTAAGGAAACTGATCAAGTGATAAATTATATGTGCAGTATAATTTTTGTGGGCCATAGGAAGAACCTTGAGGAAACTGGCAGCCATAGAAATTAAATTTCTATCAGTGACAGAAGTAGCACAGCCTCGTCCAGGTACATACAGAGCTTTTTTTTTTTTTTTTTCTCCCATTTTAATTAATATCTGCATGCAACTAGGAACTATAAGGTTTCTGTTTTTCGGTAGAGTGGCAAAATGCTTATTATCCTCGTAACTGCTTTTAAGAAAAAAAAAAATTGGGTTCTTTCTGGAAGGGAACATCAGGGCTCTGTCTAGCCTAGAGTTCTCTTGAGTTCCCTGTAAAAAATACTGTTGTAGGCTCAGAGGAAGACTTAGAAGTGCTACATGCATCTGCAAGAATTAAGCATTGATTTTAATTGGCACTTAAATGTTTTATTAGCCTAACATTCCAATCTCAGGCAGTTATGAATACTAACTCAGCTAGACATGCCAGCAGATAAGTAAGTGAAACATCTAGTGTATACCTAAGCTTAGAGCCTCACATGGAGGGACTGTGCTAAATCGCAAATGTCTGATCGCACATTTAACCGTAAGTAACCTTTGATGTAAGTCAGGTCTGAAAAAGGACTGTCTTATTGCCTCTGTGTTTATAGTGGTTACACATGGGGTTGGACAGACATCAGAGCCAGCTGCTAGGTTCACTCACTGATGGCTATGACCCCAAGTGCTGTGTGCCTGGGATTCCCAAGAAACTGAAACATCCCGTTGCTCTATGCTCGTTTATGTAGGAACCAAAGACTGAATAGAGAAGGTAACTGCTCAGAAGGGTCAGAACTAGAAAAGATAATTTATACTATTAAATTTGGAATTAAAAATCAAGACCATTTTTTTACCCCAAAGGAGAGGTCAATGGAAATGAGCTCCTAGAGAAAAATTCAGATACAGCAACATACAAGAGGGAAAAGGATGCAGGCACCTGATAACCATTTCATCAGTCAGTGTAATTCAGTAGCTTATATAGCATAACCAAGTATCTACTGCTTCACGTTTTAGCAAAGATTGTTTCTTAGGGAGTATCTGAAAAATGAAATCAACTGTTATAGAGCTTTTTATAATGCATATTAATGAAACTGACATTTTTGTCTGGGAAGTGGCTTTCTCCCTGTCACTGCCTGGAAGTAGTATGTCCAGCCATAAACTGACAGGCGGGCCTTGTAGCATGACTAATATGAGGGCACAGAAGAGCAGAGGCCCCTTCTCTCGGGAGGAGTCATAGGGCCTTGGGTTGTTTGATTTTACCTGCAGCAAAAGGAAAGGGAGCTAGAGGTCAGCGGGCAGGATGATAATCCTGTGTCATCTGTACTTTGTAGGGTTGGTGAGGAGGACAACTACCCACTTGATGGGTATCTGTTCCCTTATAAGCAAAAGCCATGCACTTCCCAGTCTGCCTAGGACAATTGGAAAAAGTGAAAACCAATTTCATCTAGTAAGCTTTTTTGCATATATTTTACGGCTAAAACATGTTGCTCTAGACAAAATACACCTTTATGCAAAGGGTGAAAATTGACTTTAAAAATATGACTTATAGGAACTCAGACTAAGTGAAAACAATAACCAAAGCACCCAAATGCTGGTCCTTAGAGACGCATACCTTTTTTTTTTTTTTTTTTTTTTTTGAGATGAGCTTTAGTGCTTGCCTCAGAAAGAAGGGTTGCTTTTAGGAAGAGCTGTGTGTTCTAGAAGGTGGCTGGAATTCCCTTCCCTATTGTAGAGGCGAAGGAATTTTCTTATTCCCCTCTGAAAACAGACCAACTTGTATGTAAAGCTCATGGACAGAAAAATTTTCTTGCAACAACTTGCTTAGAACTATTTGTAGTTAACTGTGACACTGGAACCCATTTCTCGTAGGGGACTTGGGCACTTAGGACTATGAAAAAAACAGCAAACGGTCCTATAATCTCATCGGTGCAGAACTGAAAAATGAAAGGAATAAAATGGTAAAGACTGTAGCAGGAAAGGAATGATAAAGTGGAATGTGTCCAAGAGCAAATCCAGGCAATTTGGTACTGCTTAGCCAGCCCTGTTAGCATTTTGGCTGAAATCGAACCTCTGAAACAGAATAAGCTAATCACTGTGTATTTTGAGGAGAAAAAGCCTAATAGCGATCCCCTCCCACTTCATGACAGTAGGCGCTCAGTGCCCAGTTGGAGGTTTGCTAGTTCTCAAGCAGATGGGAGCAGTGTTGCCAAACACTACCTCCTGTCTGACAGTGGGCACCTTTTGCCGTTAAGAATAGAAATAGGTCCAGAGCTCCACTTGCACTTGCATGAGTTTTGATTCAGCAGAATAGCTAGAGCGGGGGGAAATGCTAATACTGCTTTTCTGCTCCTAAACTACAGAATTTTAGTTGCATTACCATGCGTGATTTTCAACTCTTAAATCTTGGCTATTAATGAGTCCATCAAGAAGGCATACTTTCAATCAGTAGAGCTCTCTTAGCCCTGCTCTAACAAGAAAAGTTGAAGGGTGTCTTCTTTTGCAATATAAGGTTTGTCACATCTCTGGTGTTTCTCCTTGTAATGGATGAAACCTAACTGCCACCCTGAGGGAGTGAGACCTTTCAGTGATGACCCACTGGGGCGTGCCTGCCATAGGTTTGCCACTACCCTCCTAGGGTTTCTCTCAATGATATACTTCTATAGGACAGCTAAGAGTTGATAATGTGGAACTTGAAAGAAAACCCAATTCCTGTTGGAACAAGCAAATCAGTAGTCCTAGATAGAGTCACAGATGGTGTCAGAGTTTTCCCTGGGAGGAAGAGGAAGGGAAGAAACGGGAGATGGCAGATTAGCCCACTATCTATAAAAAAAGACTGAAAAATCATAAAAACTGGATAAATGCACTGGATCCCACTGATACACAGGAAGGGGAAACAGTGACTTACAAGCAGAAGCGAGACATTACTGAGCACAGTGCGCAGGGCATTTGTTTACATACTGTCCATGGGCCAGGAAGGAGGAACAATGCTGTGGATAAAGCCCACAGTATCACTGCCAATGAGTGAATCTGCGGCACTCCATCCACCTGCTGACCTCTGTGGCGCCCCTGGCTTCCCAACAGGTCCTGGTTATGGGCCCCTTCTTTCAGTGGCCTGCCAGAGTGTAGTCCAGGAATATAACTTTGGTGCCTGAGCGCTGATTAGAGTGAAGTTTCATTTGTGTGTGGCCTGGAGTTCTCCTCCTCGAGCAGAGCTATTCTTTGTTTGAGCATTCTCACTTGAGTCTCATGTCTTTCCACCATGGCCATCATCTGAGACTCCAACTTCTTCAGCTTGTTTTGATGCTTTTTCTTTGCTTTTTCGTATGCAGCCACCAGGTTGCTATGTGGGAAAGGAGGGAAATGGTAAAGTGTCATCCTAAATAGCATGAGAAACCTCGTCCTGTCCCCGGGGTAGCTGTATCTAGTGAGCACTGCTCGAAAAAATGCTCACTCTGCCTCTTACATAAGAATCTGAAGCCAAGTGTTGAAGCATAAAATCCAGATACCAATACTCAGTACTAATCGTCAGCCAGTGCAGTGATGATTAATTCAGCCCACTGCTGCAGGCTTGACACTGACATCTTAGTAAGGTTTTACCTACCTAGTGAAACCGGTACCCGAAACTAGCGAGACTAAAACAAAAGCCGCTGAATTCCAGAAGTCTGTTATGGTAAGTACAGACATGGCCCACCTGTTCCATAGCAACTACAGTTTACAGGAATGTTGCCACAAAATATGTCACTTAATATCAGGTCAAAGAAGCTGTCCTGTTCTTTTTAAACATTTTTTTACATGTCAGGAACTACTCAGTTTCCACAAGTTTACTCACATCATGCAGACATGATGTCAAGGAAACCAAAGACATTGACTATTTGTAGCATCCATGATATCCATCCTTAAAAGCTTGTTTTATAACAGACTCATAATATAAATTCACATGAAACAATTTTAATGTCCAAAATCAGACACTACAAGTGTACTGTATGCCATTTTTCTGAAGGCAGCTAACCTTTTTTTATTTCTCACATGTCTGCAGGAAACAGGCTCATGTACTTCAAAATAACATGGTGATTGCACATGCAGATGTGAGAATTCAGCTGTCTTAATACAGATACAGAGATGTGCAAAACAAAACAGTACCACTTTTCTAATTGTTTTTTGGAATTTTTTTTTTTTTTTTTTTTTTTTTTTTTTTTTTTTTTCCAGAACTGGGAATTGAACTCAGGCCCTTACGCTTTGGAAAATACTTTTCATTAAGATGATATCTAGGGGGCCGGGGTGATGGCTCAGTAGAATAAGTGCTTGCCTGGCAAGCACAAGGGCCTGAGTTCAATCCCCAGTTCAAAAAAAATATTCTCAATTGGTCAAGCAATGGCCGTGACTCATCCAAATGGCTGACAATGACAAAGGATCTACAAACTGCAGTACAGGGTTTCAGGGTAAATCCTGAGGGGATCTGACCTTGACAGATACCAAAGTTATATTTCTTGTTATATAGATCTTTATCTTGGTCTTAACCATCCAGCAGAAAAGTATAAAAACAAGGTATAAAAAGTAAAGCCGTGGGGCTGGAGAGATGGCTCAGTGGTCTAAAGCACCTACTTGGAACAAGCCTGGCAAAGCACAGGGACCACAGTTCGATCCCCCAGCACCACATGCCAGCCAGCCTTGCCCTCTGGTGGGCTGAGCTGGGGACACACACACACACACACACACAC